TATTGAATGGGACGACGAAATCAATTCCGGCGCAATATGTTGACACATTGGCGACAGAAAATGCGATGCCTTACATGTTCGTTCCGCTATGGCGATGAAATCGGCAACCAAAATTAATTATGTTGTGATGTTCGGCGCAAAGAGAGATTTGACGTTTGAGGTTGGCGACGGAACTTGCGACGATCGTTATTTTCGTCTCAAAATATTTAATGGTCGAATTTTACACTAGGTTTGGTTTTAAATTTGGGAAATTTTCAAAATTAGATGAAGATTTTAATTTGGGTATAAATTCATATGTTATAACTAAATTGCATAACTTTTTAATCACTATTTTACAACATCAGTAAACTCATTATAATAATGTCAATTTTAACAAAAATTAATTTAAGTTTTATTGTCTAATTAATATTTCGTTAAGAAGATTTAATTTATTTTAATATAAAAATTTGTTAGGACATCGTTTCTTTACTACTTCTTTTACTACAAGTTTAAAATACTCATTTTGATTATATCGAAAAAAAATCGTTTTTATTTTATATTAATTATTTAATATTTTAAAAGATTACTGAACATTTACCTATTTTAACTTTTGTGTACGATATTAATTTAATCGTGCAACTTACGCATTTTAACTAGTGTATGTGTGTGTAAACAATTCACTTAACTGATCTGTTAATTATGTTAATTTATACTTTATAACCAAACCATTGATAAATAAAATATTTAAAAATCTTTAACCGTTAATCGAACTAAAATATTTTGTTTAAAAATTTATTAAATGGATTCTTTGGTTCGAGCGTTTAACAATTTTCACTACTAGATTGTACGCACTCTTAAAAATAATAACTAATGTTTGTCATAGAGGTGAAACTTTGGAAGAATGACCAGGGATCGAGTCTCACCAGCGGCAGTGTGGGAGCAACCTCTCAAAGTGAGGAAGGGCTCCTTGTGCGCAGTGAGCACCGATCTAGCCTCTGTGATTAATGTTCAGTTAAGTCACCATGATTTACAACCTCCCACCGCTCTGTCGGGCCGGGGTGTGGGGGGCCCTTAGGGTTGGGGTTCAGCCTTTTGGAAGAATAACTAATGTTTGTGTGATTATTATTTAAATAAAAGAAGATTTTGATCATACACAAATTAAATGTGAAAAATAATTAAATAATTAATTTTCCCAAATATTTAGGAGGTATATTTATTGTAATCATTAATCTAAAATGACATAGTTATTATAACATTTCATATATTCGAGTATATATTGTACAATGAAGCTGTAATTATATCGAAATGATTATGCAGTTGTGTTTTAATGAAACTATAGTGTATATAAAATAAAATTAAATAACATTTTCACATATTTGAGTGTATAAATATTGAATGAAACTATAGTTGTGTTGAACTGAAACTGCAGTGTATACAAAATGAAATTGAAGAACAGAGTTATTTTTTGTGGAACGACACGAAATGGACTCTGTTTCTTTTCATTAAATAAAACGACGTCGTTTTGATGCGTGGTGCATAATCGATTATGCACCGCAGTGCACGATATAATTTGCCGCAACTGATGCAATGAGTTGGTTCAATTATATTTTCTGATGTTATCCTTGCCTGAATTCAAGTAAATAATTTCCCAATTACCCATGCGATGCATGGATACATTTTTTTATTAAAAATATTTAAATAGTAAAATTAAAGATGAAATTATAATCAATTCTAATATTTGAAAGTGTACATTTATTTGATTATAAGATTAGTGCAAAAGCATCACTCAATTAATTGAATAATACATGACTCGTTTGTGTGCACTTTAAAAAATTGATATGCGATATGATTTATGTAATTATATTATTATTACTAAAATAAATATGGGAAAAAATGAGAAATAATTTAATTGTAATCATTATAAAAATAAATCCAACGAACTCATGTTTAGCTTAATTACCATAATAATTATTAGGCAATTATATTAATATTTGTGCAATTATATTTGTATACCAGGACTATGTGGTCTAATGGTACCCGGGTTGAACTTCCATTTGGAAGATTATGAGTTCGAGCCTCAGTGGAGGCGTTATTGGTTCTTTGTGTTTTAGCAGGTTGAGAAAGTATATGAACAGATACTACAATGTAATAGGACCAGTAACTTTCAAAAAAAAAAAAAAAATATTTGTATACCTAAGTATATTCATTTTCACCCTATCGCCTTTACTTTTTTCCTCCTCCATATCTAAATGAATTAATTGTACTTATTATAAAAAAATCCAATGATCCATGTAAAATTAGGTATTTATTAAATTAAAACTTTTTAACAATAAAACAAAATATGGTACGTTAAAATTGAATTTCAATTAGTAAAATTTGATTAGGCTAAAAACTAAAAAGTTGTTAGTTGCGTACATCTTCAGCGTCGTGGCCTCCGTCTTCGCTGCCTAACCCTTCGCCATTCGCCCATTCCTCACCACAGTAGCTTCATCGCGACCAAACTTGGCCATGCACAGCCCACTGTAGTAAGCTTTGTCAACGCCAAAACAACTTCATCGTCTGGGGAAGGGGTCGGGGGAGAGGCAGGGGCAGAGTCAGGGCTTCTAGCAATTTAAAGCATCGTCATTCACAAATGTATGAGCAGTGGGCCTAATAGATGATTTTCCAGATAAACTTTGTTTAATGCAGGGATTGTACCTCCAGTGCAGATTTTTTATTTTTTTACTTTTGTGTGGATCTTGATTGTCTCTAATTAATTTGTCAATCCAGTTGCTGCAGATCCTCATCAGTTTGAAGCATTGCAGAGGATGAGGAGAACATGGACTATGATTCAAGTGATGAAAAAGCTGAGAATAAAATAAATGATGTTGATGATAGCTTGGTATGTTTTTTTGTTCTTTATTGCTCTATGATTTTTTTCACTAATGCTTCTCTACCCTTGGCATTCAGGTTAATCTTCTAAGCACAAATGATGATATGATTACCAACAATTCTGCTTAGAAAGCACAAAACTAGTATATAGATCAACTTCTATTATCTCTAATTTAATTTGAAAATACTTTCAGTAAGTTATTTCTTACCTGCATAGCAATGATGGCTTGTATTCATCCGGTGCCAAGTAGTTTGATTTCCTTTTATCCCAATAGGTAAGGTGTCCTTATATGGAGATTAATGGAAGAGTTTTCAGTTGTTTTTCCTTTTATTTAATACTCTATTTTTCATTTCAACTAGTGTGAATTTAAATTCTCATAATGAAATTGAATGTGGACCATTACTAATAGAAATTGTGAGGTTTCACTGCTTTAATTTACTAATAGAAAAATAAATGTTATTGTAATATATATACTTTATAATTATCATGTTGTTTGATCAAGGATGATGAAACTCTTCAAGGCAAATGCCTCAAAAGGGCTGCCCCACGGGAAAGGGTAGGGGTACTACATCCTCAGCTAAGAGAGGAAAGAAGTCAGATAATGCTCCTTCAATTCAAAGGATGCTTATGAATCTAGATGTGATGAAGATGATGACGATGAAGTGCAAAAGAAATCAAACAAACATCCACGTCGTGTAAGTGAAAATAAGGCTCTGGCAACTTTTGTTGTATTGAATTTCTGTTCTTAGGTGACTTACTGAATCTTTCCGAGTAGGACTACTTTCATGGAGCTCATTTGGCAGAAAATGCACCTTTACACCAGTTTTTATTTTATAGTGCCAACTTTGTGAGTGTAGCTGATCGATAAGCATTGTTTTGAGAGTGGATGTCAAAGCACTTGTACAATTTTACCATGATTTCATTTTGCAGAAAATGACGGGTTACTAATTATATGCGTAGTGTTGTAGCGGAGTTTTGACTATTTTCAGTGTTCACCTTCAGTAACGTGAAATGTTACAGTTTTGTCCATATTTTCCAGTCGATGGATTTGCTTGTTTTTGGGTATATAAATCTCATACTTCATCTCTGTTTTTCATTTATTTGTTCTTCATAGATTCACAATTCCATCATAGGCTATTATATTTTTATCCGGCAAATGTTTTCTATTGAAAATATAATATTTGTTAATCCATAAATTGTGCATTGTCAAAATTGAAGAATCTGAAAGGCTTCGACCAGAAGAGTTCAATCAGCAGAATATAAATGCTTTAGTTTTCATATTAACATTTTAAATACAAATAGTAGAATTTTAATAAAATAATAATAATTACCAAAATATTGAATAATAATAATAATTTAGCAAAATTGTGACGAAATATAATTTTAGCTTGGCATTATCGCAGCAAAATTGGTGACAGAAAGATTATTGTCGCTCAAAATGCGATGAAATCACGATAGTAATTAGTTTCGTTATTTTTTTTCGACAAAATTCGTTGATAAAAAATAAATTTGCGACGGAATATCTAGCGATGGAATTACTACGGAAATTTGTTCTGTCATTTTCTTACGACCAATTTGTGTGACGGAAGACGAAATTTACAACGGAAAAGTTAGCAACGAAATCGCGACGACAATTTGTTTCGTCTTTTTTTACGACAGAATTTTATGACGGAATACAAAATTTGCAACGGAAAACTTAACGATGAAATCGCGACAATAATTATTTCCGTCGTTATATTTCATGACAGAAATACGCAACGAAATATGAGTTTTGCGACGGAATATTTTTTCACGTGATGGCGACAGAAAGAAACTTTTCCGTTGCAAAAACCGCGACGAACTCGCGATGGAATTACTTCCGTCGCCTACTTTGCGACGGACAAATTCCATAACTATTTTTCGTCGCCACAGCTCGCGACGGATTATTTCCGTCATGAAATGAAATACGACAAGCCTTGACACTACGGAACGAATTCCGTCGCAAAACGTGATTTGCGACGGAATTTTGGGTTTTCGCGACGGAAATTTTCCGTCGCAAATCGCGATTTTTCTTGTAGTGGAAGACTCTTAACCCGAATAGGAAAGATTGGAGTACACGACTTGATGATGCTTTATGGGCTTATCGAACGGCCTAAAAACTCCAATATGTATGTCTCCTTATCGTTTGGTATTTGGTAAACCGTGTCATCTTCCTGTTGAATGGGAACACAAGACTTATTGGGCTGTTAAGCAATGTAACATGAGGATTGATGAATCTGATGAGTTGAGAAAGTTGCAGCTGCAAGAGCTTGAAGAAATTCGTAATGATGCATACGAAAGCTCTAGAATTTACAAGGAAAAAACAAAAGCATTTCATGATCAAAAGATTTCTAGGAAGAATTTTGCTATTGGTCAGAAAGTTTTACTTTATCATTCTAGATTGAAACTTTTTCCTGGTAAATTGCGTTCTAGATGGGTAGGACCTTCTGTTGTCACTAATGTTTTTCCTCATGGTGCAATTGAAATACACAGTTTAGAGACCAGAAAATTTTTTAAAGTTAATGGACATCGTTTAAAGCCATTTTATGAAGGTTTTCAGGTATGTAATGTTGAAGAAATTAGTTTGCAGTGCCCAGTTTATGAAGATTGAAAAGGGATGATGTCCAACCAATGACATGCTACTTATAACAAGGGGAGTTTGTTCCATTCTTTTAAACACATTCTTTATTGTTTACATGCCTTAATTTTAAATTCTATTTAACATTTGGGACAATGGTAAGAATAAGTGTGGGGAGGGGATTTAACTATTATTCATTATTTAATTCTTCCCTTCAAAATTTTTACTAATAAAATTTTCAAAAAATATAATATTTTTACTAAAATTCATAACATAATTGAATAATTGGTCTTGCATATTATGATTATTTAGTTTAGTATTTTGTTTGATATGGTGGTGGTTAAACTAAGCAAGCATGAACATGTGAGATAATTATGAGCCTTTGACTGAAACTTCAGTTCAATTAGTTTGTTCTTGTGTGATATCTTCCATAGATTTGTATCTCTAGAACTTGCTTTGATTCTCTTTAAAGCTAATTTGATGCATGCATGATTTCAATATGATTAAGGCTATCATTGATTTTTAACCTCACTAGCCAAATAGCCTATTCATATCATGATTGATTTATCCTTTGTTAGCCATTTTGAGCCTTTTTAACTGTATTTTTGTTGTTATGAAACCACATTATAAGCCTCATACCTGAAATTGATTTCATTAACCTTGCCTAAAAGATTAGGGGAGCTTTGATTGAGTAAATGCATTGAGATTTGAGTGTGGGGAAATATGTTTGACAAAGTGTTTATGAGTGGGGATAATGAATTGGTCATTAGACATCTATGAGCCTTTTGGTTGGTATTTCAAAAAGAAATGATGATAGATAATGGAAAATGAGTTGATGTAATTGTTTCAATTTTTGAGATTGTTTCTAAATGAAATGTTTGATGGAAATTGTCCTTCTTCAAAAACAAACAAACAAAAAATCAAAAAAAAAAAAAAAAAAAAAAAAAAAAAAGAGTGGAAAAAAATGCAAAATACGAAAAGGAAAAACAGCAGAAAAAAAATGAAAAGAAAAAAGGGAAAACAAATATGACAAAACATAAAAGAAAAGAAAAATGTATGAAGAATGAAAATGAAAATGAATTTGAATTGTTATTGTTATTGTTATTGTTATTGTTATTGTTGTTGTTGTTGTTGTTGTTGTTATTATTATTATTATTATTATTATTATTATTATTATTATTATTATTTATGTGGAATAAAGTATGAATAGTTTATGGTCTTATTATGGGGATGTGATAGTTTATTTGGTTGGAGTTGAATTATCAAAATAACAAGAGAGATTTGGTTCATTTGAGCTTTATTTTAATTTAGTTAATTCACTCATGTTCCTTTAGTTTTGAAGGCTTTTTGAACTAGTTTCTCAAATATTTCCTATCCTTTGTCTTAAGCCCCATTACAACCTTGGAAAAAGTCATTATGATTTGGTCATGCATGTTATCTTGTAGTAGAGAATGAGAAGATATGTAAGCCTATAGTAGAACATTTCTATAGGAATTGATTTGAGTAAAATATACACACCTTTCAAACACTTCTGCGTTATGAGTGATATTTCTGTGAGGGCTTGGTTATTTAGTTTACTCTATTTTCAAATAAATTGCTAGCTAGTTATTTATAATGTGTTTGACACCAATATTCATGAAGTGTTATAAGTTTCTACATATTTTTATTTTTCATAAATAATGTTTTTGCTTGACGACAAGCAAATGATCAGTGTGGAAATTTTGATAAGCGTAATTTATATGTTCAATTTAGATTAGTTTTTATAATAAATTAGTTTTATTTATTTAGTATTATAATTATTTTGAGCTTTATTTTATATTTTGTACTAATATAATAATTATTTGAATAATTACGTTTAATGATTATTTGGGCCATTAGGATTGTACATTGATATTGTTATTATCTAATCTAAAAACATAATAAGTGTGAATGAAAGTTATACCCCTAATTTATGTCCGTTTTTTTCGTTAAGTTTTTTTGTACATTATGCTATAAAGGTTGTACATTAAAATATTTTGGACAAACATACCCCTACCGTAATAACTTCCGTTATCTTTTTCACTATTGTTACCATGCACTTGCATCCACCATATATTTTCTTATCTTCTTCATTAATAATAATATATAAACATTATATATTTGAGTTATATGTTAATTATTACATAAAATATAAATATCAAATTTATAAAAATAATTTACATTATTATTATTATTATTATTATTATTATTATTATTATTATTATTATTATTAAGAATAATTTAAATATCTAAAATCTAAATAAATTTAAAATTTTAATATAATGTATTAATATTGGACACCTATTTTTTGCACATTGCACATTAAAAAAAAAATACTAGTATCATTAATAAGTGTTGGACTTAATTTGTTGATGGTGGAATAAAATTGACTTAGTATGTTGTTGACCTAATTTATCACTTAAATGCTTTAATTGCAGCTCAAGTCTCATTAAATTTATTTTCCCTTTTTTTGTTTCTCTAGCGTACGTAGACAGCACACGGCGACACCGGTGAATGGACTCCACGGACTGCTGCGAAGACTTTGTATGCGGCTTCTTCGAACGACTTCGTAGGCTGCTGCGATGAAGACTTCGTCCGCTACTTTACCGAATGAAGCAGAGAGTACTTTGTGCCTTCTCTACTAATTTTCTCGTTAGAAAAATAAAAATTATTTATTTTTCAGATTTTCTGTGGTTGAGTAATTGATTTTAATTTATGGATGTTAGGGCAATTAGGATTGTTTGAGCTGATTAAGGAGCCTGAACTAGTATAAATAGGGATGAATTTTGCAGTATAGGATAGTCAGTTTTTCAGAATAATTTTATTTTACTGTAAACACTTCTGTACTGCTGAGTTCGAATTTACCAATTCAAGGATTATTGAAGTTTGATTCTACAAGACCAGTGAGATTTATTTAGTTTAATTTTATTCTCTGCACTTTATTATTTATATGTTTCCTATTATATGAGTTTTAATTATTGCTTAATTAATTGTTGCAAAGGGCTCATTGTTCAATTGTCAAGTCATTATGTTGCTAATTAGAATCTTGAATTCGTAATTGTTTAAATGTTCTAAAATTGGTAGCAAATAGCACAATTTGATTATATATAGATTTTCAATTATGTGTTATGAAGATATATAGTCTAGTTTAAATGAACCATACTTTTGAGCTTGTTGGTTAGAATTGGTAATTTTTTTAATTCTTTTAATGCTCTTAGTAAATTAAATCCTAAGAGCCTATTTAGGATTGTTTATTAGCTAGGGAAGTAATCAAAGAGCTTGTATTGATTATCGACAAAGTAAGGAAAGATAGGTTATTAGAGCTTGTTAATAACCATAACCAATTTGGTAAAGAGTAAAGTAATTTATTATTATTATTTGCTATTGATTATTATTATTATTTGATATTTCATATTGTTTGCCTTTTTATGATTGCTATTTAATTTCCAATTCGCATTTCATTCTTTATTAAATCTTTGATTAAAAATAAGTCTGACCAATCTCCGTGGGTACGACCTTACTCATCATTATTGCAATTCCTAAGAGTTAGTAATTTATTATTTGTTGGATTCGACGCCCATCAGAATTCTATGTTTATAATTACTAAACTATATGTTCATAATTATGAAGCTATATATTCATAATTTTTTAACTTCATATTTACAATTATTGAATCTCTATATTCATAATTACAAAATTATATGTTCATAATTATGTTCACAACTCTATGTTCATAATTATAGAACTATATGTTCATAATTTTTGAACTATATATTCATAATTATGAACAGTTTTGGAACCGTGTCCACCTTGCAAGGTGGACATGGTTCCACAACATAATTTGCCCTTGAAGTGGAAGAAACATCAATTATACTGTAGACTGTGGTCCACAAAGCTTTGTGGACCATGGTCCAAAACGACAGACACTATAGTGTATCTAAACTGACACTGTCTCACGTATTATTTTTATTATATTATCAAATGAAACTGTAACTGAATTGGAATGAAACTGTAGTTGTGTTGAAATGAAACTACAGTGTATACAAAATGAAGCTGAATAACAATTTCACATATTTGAGTGTATATTGTCTAGCAAAACTGTAATTATATCAAAAATGATACTGTAATTGTGTTAAAATGAAACTGCAGTGCATATTTAATGCATGGACCATAATGCATTGTGGACCGCGGTCCACAGTATATTTTGCTTATTTAATATAACATATTGAGTTTGAGACCTAGGCTGCTCAGATCCATCAAGCCCAACAGGCCTGTCCTCATTTCCATTCAATTCAAAACTAGGCCCATATGAACTAAGATCATAATCAAGCCTAGAAAACCCAAATCCCTTTTCCCCCCTTCCCCTGCTACCAGACCAAGCCCACCTCTCCCACCAGACCCAGGCCCAATACTGTTACATATATTTTAATATAATAGTATTTGTGATCCTGAAATGACCTATATTTACTACTACAAATATAGAATGCTAGAGAGATAGAGTTTATTATATATTAGAAAAATTATATTTTTTGTCCGCCAGTTATACTTGTGGTATAGAATTAGTCATTAAGTTATATGTCTAATAATCTTTAACAATTAAGTTATGCAAAGTGACGACTTTAATCCTTAAAAGACTAAATTCACCACTTTATTAAGTAAATAATGATTGAAGAAATAGACTCCAATGAATTAAAATCACTACTTCGTATATAACTTAGATGTTAAAGTTAATCACGCATATAATTCAAAGACTAAGTTTAATTTGTACCACCAATATAATTAAAGGAACTAAAATACTATTCACTTATATATTTCATTGTCTTTTTTCTCCTTTGAAATCTTTAATAAGTTGTGTAGATATTTATAATGATATTTAATTCCCATAACTATATATTTAGGCTACAAGTCAATATTAGCCTAACCTACATAAACAAGTCAATATCAGTCTTCAAGACTTCAACCCTCAACATTACTTCACATGATGTACTTTGGATCTAATATTTTGCTTGTGAAGT